GCCTGGGCTGTGCTCCGATGGTTGGTCACCAGAACTGGGCGCCACACGCGGTGGGAGGGTCTGGGCGTCACCTGTCAGGGTCTTTGCATGTGTGACCATGTGGGTCCCTGTTGGACTCACAACAGTGCAACGTGTCTGCCTTTCTGTGGCTCCTGCTCAGGGGGCCTGTACCCTGGGTGTGTCGCTGAGCTTGGGGTGTGCGAGAGGGACTGTTTATGGTGGTGGTGGTGGTGGTGTGTGTGTGTGTGTGTGTGTGTGTGTGTGGCTCTGGGCTATTTTTGCTCTGTCTCTCGGGCTCACCCGCCTTGCTCAGCGCCTTCCCCTGGCAGGTCCCTAGCAGGGATGGGGGTGGGTACACCCTCTGAAGGGGGGTTTCTGGGCTGGAAGCCCTTGAGCCCTGAGGCCTGGATGCGTGTCCTCCCGGCCACCCTGGCCCACCTGTCTCCAGCCTGCTGACTTGGTGCAAGCCGAGCCCCTGGAATGTGGGGAGAGCAGGGGGAGGAGGTGGCAGCTGGGGGGCGGGGGGGAAGAGGAGTCTGCCAGACTCTAAAAATAATTTCCAACCCTGGACAGCAGCTCCTAAGGTCTTTCATGGGTCCCCCCACCCCCACCCCCAGCCTGATGTCTCAGCCTTCGGCTTACCCTGGTCCCAGTCTTCCCACCGTCCTGTCTGCTTCCCATCCCTGGAACTGGGAGTGAGCACCCCATGCCTGCCACCACTGCTGAAGGGTCCTTCCTCTCTGGGTCTTGTGAACGAAAGTAATAATAACAATAATAGCAGCCATTCCTGTAGGTACAATTCGACGCCAGGGCCTGTGCTCAGCCGGCCACATGCCTGAGCTCAAAGAATCCTCCTGGAAAGCCCCTGGGGAAGGCTCAGTGCACAGGTGACAGAGGCTCAGAGAGGCTGAGCAACTGGCCTGGGGTCACACAGCAGGGAAATGGCAGAGGTGGGATTTGAACCCAGTTCTGCCGGCCCCAGAGGCTGAGCTTTTCTTCCCAACTGAGCCCTGCAGGAGACTTGTCAGCAATAGCCAGGCGGGGGAGGGGGGGGGCAGCCACCCAGCCCTCCTTCCCTCCCTGCCCCTCACCCCTTGACTGAGCCCCTGGAATCATATCCAAGAAGCTTCAGAGAGTGTCCCTTCTCTGCTCACACTCATTCCCAGCAGCACCTCCACCTTTTTGCCAGCTCCTCACACAGACCTTTACAACAACAACAGCAGCTGCGCAAAATAAAGGCTGACTGTGTGCAGGCACCATTCCAAGTGCTTTACACACATTAACTCCTTTAATCCTCCCAACTTCCCCATGAGGTGAGCGCTATTCTGACCCCTATTTTACAGATGAGTGATTTGAGGCACAGAGAGGTTAAGCAACTTGCACAAGGTCACACAGCGTGTAAGTGGCAGAGCTGGAACTGAAACCCAGGCTGCCTGATTCTAGGACCTACGTTCTTATCCAGGCCACAGTGACCACTCCAGCCTGAGGGTCCCCCCTCCTGGAGAAACTGAGTCTCTCGAAAGGTTATTAGTCAAAATACATCCTGTCAAAACGCAGCGGCTCAGAGAGGGGCCCTGCTTGCCGCAGGTCACTCAGCACGGGAGTCAGGCCTGGCCGCAGCGCCTGCTGTGTGTTCCCTGGCCGATCTCTGCTGGAGGCGGTAACCTCCCCTCCTCTCTTCCCACCAGGCCCCCCACGCCGCCGCCATGCCGTTCGGGAACACCCACAACAAGTACAAGCTGAACTACAAGCCGGAGGAGGAGTACCCGGACCTCAGCAAGCACAACAACCACATGGCCAAGGTGCTGACCCCTGACCTCTACAAGAAGCTGCGAGACAAGGAGACTCCTTCTGGCTTCACTCTGGACGATGTCATCCAGACGGGTGTGGACAACCCAGGTCAGCAGCGCGGGGACCCGAGGGGCGGGGCCGGGGAGGCTGCCTGCCGGGCTCCATCCTACCTTCCGGCCTCAGTGTTCCCATCTGTAAAGTGGGGACCATATACGCACGGGGCTGTTGTGAGAAACAAACGAGTCCGTGTGCGGGAAGGGCTTGGGACAGGACCTGGCCCACAGCAAGCCACTCGCTAAATGCACAGGAGTTTCCTGCGAGATTCCCGGAAAGCCCTTCACCCTCCTGGGCCCCTACATGCTAGAGCGGCCCGGGCACAGTGGGCGCCAGCATCTGGCATCTGGCGGGCGCACTGGTGCTGTGGTCCCTCCTCCAAGGACACCGGCCAGGCGAGGGGACCAGGTGGCAGGAGCGCAGGTCCCAGCCTCCGCCCCCAGCTCGTCCTGGGGTGCAGGAGGAAGTCCTGTGTTTCCCCCAAGAAGTCAGAGGGCCTTGCCAGTCTCTTATGTGTGGAAGCTGATGGTCTAAGGTTCTGGAACATTCTAGGGCAGCGGTTCTCAACCTGTGGGTTGCGACCCCTTTGGGGGTCGAACGACCCTTTCACAGGGGTCGCCTAAGACCATCGGAAAACACATATATAATTACATATTGTTTTTGTGATTAATCACTATGCTTTAATTATGTTCAATTTGTAACAATGAAATTGGGGGTCACCACAACATGAGGAACTGTATTAAAGGGTCGCGGCATTAGGAAGGTTGAGAACCACTGTGCTAGGGGGAGGTTCCCTGGCCTGGGGACTCGGGGTGGTGATATTTTTAGTCCCTTGTGCCTGGTCCCCTGGGGCTCGTCCCTCTCCTTTGCCCTGTCCCAGCATCCTCACCCACACGCCCCCTCACCTCTCCCAGCCTCCCCTCCAGATGTGACCTCTTCACACTCACACACACACACACACACACACACACACACACACGCCCGCACACGCAGTCTACACCACACCCAGAAGCCCAGGCTGCTGGGGACGAGCCCCCCTCACCTCACCCGACCCCCAGGTCACCCCTTCATCATGACCGTGGGCTGTGTGGCCGGCGATGAGGAGTCCTACGTGGTGTTCAAGGACCTCTTCGACCCCATCATCCAGGACCGGCACGGGGGCTACAAGCCCACCGACAAGCACAAGACCGACCTCAACCATGAGAACCTCAAGGTGGGCTGCCCCGAGGGGGGAAAGGGGAGGAGAGGGGAGGACAGAGTGCAGAGAGAAGAGCCAGGGGAGACGCAGGCGGGAGGGCACTCAGAGAGACGCAGAGACACAGCGATCAACAGATGGAGAGAAACACAGGGAGAGGGACAGAGGAAGACAGACAGGAGACAGAGGGACAGGAGGGAGGGGGGCAGAGAGAGAGAGAGAGAGAGAGAGAGGAGCCAGGCACAAAACAGACCTGTAGAAAGGGAGAAACGGAGAGAGAGGATGGACAGAGTCAGAGACGGGGGAGAGACAGGGAGAGAGATGAAGAGAAACAGAAGCAAGGGAAGAGCGGTATGGAGAACAGACAGGGACAGACACACGGGAGAGACAGATGGAGAGATGGAGAGACAGAGACAGAGAGACAGACGGGAGAGACAGAGATGGAGAGACAGGTGGAGAGACAGAGATGGAGAGATAGACGGGAGAGACAGAGATGGAGAGACAAATGGGAGAGACAGAGAGACAGAGACAGAGAGTCAGAGCCCGGGCGAGGGGTGGGGAGAGAGGCCATGGGGAAGGAGGCGTCTAAGGAAGCAGCAGAGAAGCCCGGGGAACGGGAGGGTTTGGGGGCACTGGAGGCCCTGACACCCCACGTGCCCTCCAGGGTGGAGACGACCTGGACCCCAACTACGTGCTCAGCAGCCGCGTGCGCACGGGCCGCAGCATCAAGGGCTACACGCTGCCCCCCCACTGCTCCCGCGGCGAGCGCCGGGCTGTGGAGAAGCTCTCCGTGGAAGGTGAGCCCGCCCCGCCCCCTGCCGGGGTCACCGGCTCCCCCAGGGGCAGATCTCTGGGCCCCCGGAACCCCCATGTTCTAAACGTGCAAGCTGCTTGGTAAACCCTGGGTGCCGGGCGAGGGACAGGGCCGCATCCTCCTGGTGGGAGTGTTGAGGGACCCTGAGCAGATCCATGCGGACACCCGGCTGCGCCAGGTCCTGAAAGGCACCCAGTCACCCAGCAAGTGTCTATGGCCGGGCTGGTCCTGTGTGTGGAGCTGGGGCTCCCAAGATGAACAAGACAAAGTCACTGTTGTCAGAGCTGCCAGGCTGGTGGGGAGATGAGAGGGTGTAAACACAGAAACCCAGAAAAGAACAAGGTAATTCCAAAATGCAAGCCAAGAAACAAGGGGCGTGGCAGGGAACGGCCGGGTGTGTTGGGGGGAGGCTGTCCTGTGAAGAGGAGTTGAGACCTGACCGATGAGGAGGAGCCGACCTTGGGAAGAGTGCCAGCAGGTAGCACAGCAAGTGCAAAGGCCCTGAGGTGGGAGGAAGAGCAAGGAAACCATTGTGGCTGGAGCGAGAGGGTGAGGAGATGAGGTCAGAGGGGGATGGGGGTCAGGTTGGGCAGAGCCTTATGGGCTGTCAAGAGGACTTCGGGGGACCCTTTTCCCCTTCTCTACTTGGGAGTCTGTTCTGTGGGACTCCTCCCCCTCCCTACATGGGAGTCTGTACTTGTTCTTTAATAAATCTCCATCTTTGCTATACCAAAAAAAAAAAAAAAAAGGACTTCGGCTTTGAGTCTGAGGGAGGCGGTAGCCATGGGAGGGTGGTGAGCAGAGGAAGGACAGGTTCAGATTTCCGTGGAGCCCTCTGGCTGCCAAGTGGGGGGCAGACTGTGGGCAAAAGTAGGAGCAGAGAGACCGTGAGGGGGCAACCATAGTGGTCCAGGTGAAGGGTGCAGGGTGACAATGGAATGGGAAGAAAGAGTATGTTTTGGAGATTGAACCATCAGAACTCATGTTGTTCTGATAAACGTTTAACTGGCTCTCAAAAAAGCAAAAAAAAAAAAAAAAAAAAGGCCCTGATTTGCAGTAACTGCCAATTTCTGTGGTGTAAATTCTCCCACGATGGCCAATGTTAAGTTATGACGTCATACAGAGATGGGAAGAGATGA